CAGCCGCTCCCAGGCGGACTCACTGTCAGTGCACTCCGCTTGCAAAGAAAGAATCGGGAGCTCCATTTAATCTCCAGGTTGTTTACTGGGCACCAAGAAAGAGCAGAACTCGAAGCAATGGCTTCAAGTTACAAGAAATGAAATTCCGACTAAACCTCTGGAAGAACTTTCTGATAGGAAGAGCTATTTGACAGTGGAATGGACTCCCCTGGATGGCGGTGGGCTCTCCTCCATCGGAAGTTTTTAAACGGAGGCTCAGTTGTCAGGGATTCTTTAGCTGCCACTCCTGCATTGCAGGGGGCTGGACTAGAAGATCCTTGGGGTCCCATCCAACTCTACAGTTCTATGGTTCTATGAAATGCTGGTGTGCCCACTGGGGCCAATGTCAATTGCCAGCTATTGATTTACATATTTTACATGGGCCTGTGTCCTGTAAAGGCCCAGAGGATTATGGAGAGAAGACAGTGGGGTGGCTGCCGCCTCAGCTTTTGCTTTGCAGCACGCATGCCATGGGGTAAGGCAAAGGGATCCTTGCCTGCTGCCACCTGCAAAGCTTATTTGGGTGGCCTGGGTACAGTGGCGTAGCGAGGGTTGCCAGTGCCTGGGGGCCGCACAGAGTGGGGTTGGGAGGGAGGGAGTACTACACATGCACATTCAACTGCCTAACGGCATCTGCATCACCCAGGAGATTGCAGCTGCAGAGATAAGAAGAGTCACTCTGTTGTCTGGAGAGATTACTTCCTGGTTCACATGGAGTAGACATTTTCAATGGAGCTGGGTGTCAGAAGCGTGCAGCTATATTGAGGCAGCACCGGGTGTTGACATTTGGCGCCCCTAACAGTTTTGTGCCCAGGGCAACTACCTCTGTGTCGCCACCCCCCACCCCACGCTACGCCACTGCCTAGGTGGGACGAGAGGGGTGTGCAGGCATGGGGAGTGGATTGGTGTGTGTGCATGCATGGAGGTCCCTGGAAAGTCCTTCTTTCAGGAGGCCATGTGTCCTGCTTTGCAGAGGACAGCCCTCTCTCCGCTCTGTTGGAAAAGTTGCACGGTTGATGTCTGGATTAAAAACAGTCCATGCTTTAAGCCAGGGGTCTGCAACCTTTAAGATAAAAAGAGCCACTTGGACCAGTTTCCGAAGAAAAAAAACTGGGAGCCGCAAAACCGGGAAGGTGACGTTGGAACGGTGCGTGACTAACACATGCACCGCCTCCATGCGACGTCACAGCCAGTACAGCGCCCACCACAGTGGGGAGTGTCGGGACGCACAATGCGCCTCCTCCCCTCGCTAGTATCTGCCCCGGAGCCGCGACAAAGGTGTAAAAGAGCCACATGCGGCTCCGGAGCTGCGGGTTGCAGACCCCTGCTTTAAGCCAAGGTTGGTTGAAAAAGCTGGGGCCTTGAAAGGTTGCCCATCAAACGTTAGTACCTGGACAGCAGTTCTGGCCTATGTATATACAGTAAACCCTCGGGTTACACTACTCTTGAGTAACATAAACTTTGGGTTGCAAAAGCGGCAAACCCGGAAGTATTTTTCTGGGTTTCGCTGCTCGCGCATGCGCAGAAGTGCTCTGCGCGCCATGTGTGTGCGCAAAAACAGCGCCTCTGGATATGGATTTTTCAGGGTGTCACAGACCCCCGGAATGAATTAAATTCGTATCCAGAGGGTCCACTGTAGTCAGCATCTGGTTGGACATTGCAAGAACAGAGTGTTGGGTTAGAAGGGCCATTGGCCTGATCCAGCAGCTGGCCTTTTTTGTTCTCATGAGCAGGCACACAGTTCACCTGCTCACTGTCCTATTCCCCACTATGGCGAGGTGTATTGTGTTTCTGTTCACACTACAGAAATTATTTCTGCATGCGAGTTGTTACCTCCAAAATTAGCAGATGCAAATTTTATGTGCATCAGCACCCTCTTTCATCTTGGGTTTTTTTTATTTTCTGGCAATGCACACCTGATGCCTTGCCCAGGACCTTCTCAGACCTGTGGTGTGTTTCAGGCGTAGGAGGACAGAATCTCCGGAAGATCTCCCAGAATCGACCTGAAAGCAAAGCCTGGCAGGCAGAGAAGAAAGAGAAAGAGAGAGGGAACCTTGCAGCAAGATCTGCACCTTCTGGACCTGTAGTCACGAGGCACCTAGAAATAAAACTAGCTTTGGAGACGAGAAAGACTCAGCCTGCTCTATGAGGGGGTTGACCTGGGCAGTTGAAAATGGTGCTTGGTGGTGATGAATGGTGGGGAATCCTTTTCTAGGTAACATTCCAGGGGCCACATGCCTGTGGTGAGTAGGGCCAGGGGCAAAAGTGGATGGAGCACTCATGCCAGAGTGCCAGAATGAAAGCCGCTTGTGTTTTGTCTTGCGAGATCACAAAACGGGCATCATTTAGTTTCGTGCTTGCACGCAGGCGCAAGAGCTTGGGACCAAAAATGGAGCATCCCGATTTTGGTCCCCATGATGTTGGAGGGTATGAGTACAGGACTGTGTTGCCAACCAGTTTTTGAAACTTTCCCTGCCTTCTTGTAGAGTTTGGATTTGATGTCCCGCTTTATCACTACCCGAAGGAGTCTCAAAGCGGCTAACATTCTCCTTTCCCTTCCTCCCCCACAACAAACACTCTGTGAGGAGAGTGGGGCTGAGAGACTTCAGAGAAGCGTGACCAGCCCAAGATCACCCAGCAGCTGCCTGTGGAGGAGTGGGGAAGCGAACCCGGTTCACCAGATTACGAGTCCACTGCTCTTAACCACTACACCACACTGGCATTGGTTTGCTTTTCTGTTATTGGTTATGATTCCCTACATGGTCAGTTTGGGGAAAAAAGGTAAAAATAAAATGTGGAGAGGGGCAGGAGATCTGCGGCCTGGGCCTTAGGCTCCATAGACTGTCTGCTAACACCACCGCCTCTGACTGCCTTGGCATGCTTTGCCTTGCCTCACGATGGCATCACAAAGAGCTGCCAAGGCTCCCCATTCGGAAGCCTGGGGCCTTCCGTGTTCCAGGTTCGCCACAGCCCAGACTGGAGAAGCCGACTGGGAGGACATTTCTAGGCAGGCGCGTCTGAGCCACGAGGGCTCCTTCAATTCGCCACCATGAATTACCTCACCGTGCCTGCCATGTCCTCTGTACCTCAGATGGAGAAAATGCTGCAGGTCCCGACCCAGGAGCAGGGGCAAGCCCAGGGTGCAGGCGCCGGAATGCCTGGGACTTCCGGCCTTGGGCCTGGGTATTTATCCTCACCCCGCCCAGAGCCTTCCACGGTCCTGGCCGTCACCTCCATGTCGCCCTTCATGAAAGGGCCCAGGAGATTCAGCAGGGGCAGCAGGACCAGCAGGAGGTCAATGCAAGGATCCAAAACCGTACACACAGGACCGAGAGTCAAAAGTGAGGGGGCAATTCCAGGGGTGCATTTAGACTTAATGTTAGTGTGGCAGGCCTCCCCACCTGACCCATTTTTTGACAGCCAAGTGTATTATTCCTTAACTTCCTTCAAAATGGGGGGAGCCAGCATTGCTGCTTTTTCTAGGATCTGCTTTATACTGAATTGGACCACTGGACAGGGAGCCCAGGGCTGTCTGCATCAGGAGTGGGGAGCCTTTTCTAGTCAGGGCCCCAAATCCTTAGCTCCCCCAACCCTGGCAGGCCAGCTGGAGGAGCCACCTGTCAGTCCCCTGGCATCCCTATGATGTCAGGCAATGCCACGCTTTGAAGCAGTGGTGCCAACTTGAATAACATATTTGGGGGCAGATAAAACCTGCGCCCAATCTTAGCAATAGAGGTACCTAGTGCTGATGAAGGGTTATTCCCCCACCCATCACCCCACTTTTTATCCCCAAAACAGCTCTGTGAGGTTGACTGGTCTCAGAAACTGCGACTGGTCCAGGGCTACTCTGAATTCTTAAAGCTAAAAAGGGACTTGAACCCAACTCTCCCCAAGCCCAAGTTTGTAGGCATCTGGGTGCCTTCCTGCTCACACCAAAGCAACAGCGGCTGGCTGCAAAATTATGCATTTGCCTGCTTGAGCATATTTTTAGGACCTGCCTTATTTCTGTGACATTATTATTATTATTATTATTATTATTATTATTATTATTTATATACCACCCTATACCCGGAGGTCTCAGGGCAGTTCACAGAAGAGATCAACCTAAGCTGCTTTAAATTGCTTTTCAATATTGTGTTTTAATTATAACCTGCCCTGGTACCTTGTGGTAAAGGGTGGATTAACAACAACAACATCCATTTCTTTTTTTCTGAGGGTACTCAAGAGCACACAGTACTGGCACCTTCCCCCCTACCCCACCCCAAAATGTTAAAAGTGTTGTACTTACTTTAACAACTTTATTGTGTGTACCGACAGCTTTCCTTCCCTAAAAAAAAATCAAACACTGACAACGACAACAACAATAATCATAGGTGGGGAGCTTTACCCTCCAAGTCATCTGAATTAAGCACTCCTGGTTTAATTCTAAAATATGATAAGTAGCCAGGAGCCGCTTCCTCTCTTGTCCTAGCAGAGCTCTAGGACTTACTCCAGTCTCAAGGGCTGTAAGAAACAACGTTGAAGGTTTGTGCCCAATCCCAGCTCTCTTGCCCTCCAGCAACCCTGTTACAAATCCCTTGCAAAATGAAGTCCAAACGTGGCTTTTATTAGGTGGGTGGGGGGCACAAAGGGACCTGCGCCCCTAGGAGTTGCCGGCGCCTCTGCTTTGAAGCTCCCGTTTTCACAAAACAAAAAAACAAGCGTCTTTTGGTCTTGTGTTCACACGCACGTGTGAGAATTCGGGACCAAAAAAAAAAGGAGCGCCCCGATCTGGGTCTCCAGCATGTTGGAGGATTATGAGTACAGTACTGTGTTGCCAACCAGTTTCTAGAAGAAAATCAAACACTTTTTGCAGAGGGATTGGTTTGCTTTTCTGTTATTGGTTCTGGTTTCTTACATGGTATCTGTCCGGACGTAGAAAAGGTCAGTTGGAAAAAAAGGTAAAAATAAAATGTGGAGAGGGGCAGGGGATCTGCGGCCTGGGCCTTAGGCTCCATAGACTGTCTGCTAACACCACCGCCTCTGACTGCCTTGGCATGCTTTGCCTTGCCTCACAATGGCATCACAAAGAGCTGCCAATGCTCCCCATTCGGAAGCCTGGGGCCTTCCGTGTTCCAGGTTCGCCACAGCCCAGACTGGAGAAGCCGACTGGGAGGACATTTCTAGGCAGGCGCGTCTGAGCCACGAGGGCTCCTTCAGTTCGCCACCATGGATCACCGGTACCTCACCGTGCCTGCCATGTCCTCTGTACCTCAGATGGAGAAAATGCTGCAGGTCCCGACCCAGGAGCAGGGCCAAGCCCAGGGTGCAGGCACAGGAATGCCTGGGACTTCCAGCCTTGGGCCTGGGTATTCACCCTCAGCCCACCCAGAGCCTTCCATGGTCCTGGCCGTCACCTCCATGTCACCCTCCTTGAGAGGGTCTAGACAATACCGGAGAAGATTCAGCAATCAGAGCAGCAGGTCGAGGAGAAGTTCCAAGAATGCACCTGGAGGGATAAGAGTCAAAAGTGAGGGGGCGATTCCAGGGGTACAATTTGACTTTACATAGGTGCAGCAGAACTTCCCACCCCCCGGACCATTTTTAGATGGCCATGTGCTTTATACTGAACCGGACCCCTGGCCATCGAGCTCAGGGCTGTCTCTGTCAGGAGCGGGGAGCCTTTTCTAGTCAGAGCTGCAGATCCTTAGCTCCCAAAAACCCTGGCAGGATGGTTGGAAGGGAAGTTTACATGGAGATTGGTCTGTTGGCAGAGTAGCTAAATTGCCGCTAGGAAGCCAAATCATGTGCAAGACTGACTCTTTTATTGAAATTAAAACAAGGTTTAAAATATTCAAAGCTTTCACTTGCAGAACACGTAGCTAAAGAAGAATATATTTACGTTCACATACTTATCCAAGCATGGGACTTGTTTTGTCCCCTTACCATATTTATTCGAGTCTAACGCGCCATCAAATCTAATGTGCACCTCAGTTTTCAGAACCTTGAAAACAAATGTGGATGGATGGATGGATGGATGGATGGTTATATCTGTCTGTCTGTCTATCTATCTATCTATCTATCTATCTATCTATCTATCTATCTATTGGTGAATGTAAATGTGCCATTGAATCTAACGCGCACCTTAGTATTCGCAACATAAGTTGGCCAAAAAAGTGAACATTAGATTCGAGTAAATATGGTAGTTGAAGATTCTTCCGTAAACATTCAAACTAACTCTGTCTTTCTGTCTTTCCAATCCTTGCACTCAGCCTCCTTCTGTACATTACCCAGCTAACCCATGCAGCTCCTTCCAAGAGGTTTCCACTTTCTCTTTCCAGCCGACTTCTCCTTACTGCTTCTTTGGGAGAACATCAGATTCTGTACTTCTTTTTGACACATACATTCAGAGAGAAACATTAGCACTCTTCTCCTCTATTGCATATCAGACCCTCCAAGTGTCCCTATTTTCCAGGGACAGCCCTGGATTTACAGAAGCCATCCCGGTTTCAAATTTGATCCTGGAATGTCCTCATTTCCTTGGGACGTCCCTATTTTCACTGGAGAAATGTTGGAGGGTATGGAGTTATGCAACCTCCCAAGCCAAGGAGGTAAATAACTACGCAACCTTTAGAAGACTTCTGAAGGCAGCCCTGCATAGGGAAGTTTTTAAATGTTCAATGTTTTATTATGTTTTTATATATGTTGGAAGCCGCCTAGAGTGGTAGGGGCAACCCAGGCAGGCGGGTGGGGTATAATAATAATAGGATGTCCCGATTTTCATCAGAGAAATGTTGGAGGGTGTGTTGCATTTAGATAGTTCTCTCTTTTCTTCAGTGTTCACGGAGATGCAGCCATTACAGTCAAGTCAGTCACACACACAAAACAAAATGGAGAATGTAATAAGATGTCTCCCATGTGAACAGAATTAACCAATCACATGAGAGTTACTGGGAAACATTCCAGAATTAAACACACATTCATACATTTAAGCATTCCCAATTTCAGTAAATTAAATCACTGTACTTAACATGTACAGTGATGTACAGGAGGAGGAGCTCAGCCTAATTCCAGGAATGATTACTGTACTTGGAACTGTGGGACTTAGTCCCCAACATGGGTGCTGTACGGAGGTATGTAAAAAGGGATTTATTTATTTCCCACCCACAATTTGTTACATTCAACGGGAAAGCTCAGTTGGTATAATAATAATAATAATTTATTATTTATACCCCGCCCATCTGGCTGGGTTTCCTCAGCCACTCTGGGCGGCTTCCAACAAAATATTAAAATACAATAGTCCTTCAGATATTAAAAGCTTCCCTAAACAGGGCTGCCTTCAGATGTCTTCTAAAAGTCTGGTAGTTGTTTTTCTCTTTGACATCTGGTGGGAGGGCGTTCCACAGGGCGGGCGCCACTACCAAGAAGGCCCTCTGCCTGGTTCCCTGCAACTTGGCTTCTCGCAGGGAGGGAACCGCCAGAAGGCCCTCGGCGCTGGACCTCAGTGTCCGGGCAGAACGATGGGAGTGGAGACGCTCCTTGAGGTATACCAGACCAAGGCCGTTGTGCTGGAACAGCATGAAACTCTTGATCAGGGGTTGGCAAGGTTTACCTCACCTGGGCCGGTTCACTCCAGTGGAGATCCCTCCGTAGGCCAGATTGTGTGTGCGCGTGATTTCTGGCGTCTGCGCAGATGTGATTTCTGGCACTGCAGAAGCGAGTTCCTGTGCTGCGCTGGTTTAGCAGGCGACTGGGTACGGGAGCACCTCATGGGCCGTTTAAACGACCCTCATGGGCTGCTTGTGACCCATGGGCCTTAGGTTGCCTACCCCTGTTCTTGATCTCATGGTTGTGGGTTCAACTCCCATGTTGGGCAGAGAGATTCCTGCATTGCAGGGGGGTTGGACTAGATGACCCTTGTGGTCCCTTCCAACTACACTTCTATGATTCTGTTACACTGCAGTTTGGCTTCTGACAAAAACTGAATTATCCGCATTGCTGCTAGCTATGGTGAACATTTACATCATTTAATTACAAAATCACTCTCATCATTACATTAGTCCATTACCAATAATACCAATAATACTGACTGGATAATTTCTGTTCTGGGCAAGGGATGAATAAGCAAACATAGCAAATCTGACCTCCATTCCCTTTCTCTTCTGGATTCTCCAACGTCCCTTGGAATCATAGAAGTGTAGAGCTGGAAGGGACCCTGAGGATCATCTAGTCCAACCCTCTGCAATGCAGGAATGTGCCGCTGTTGCATACAAGGATTGAACCTGCAACCTTGGCATTGTCAGCACCACGCTCTATCCAACTGAGCTATCCAAGCCCTTGTTGCAGAGGACAACCTCATGTGTTCTGAGAAACTGGGTGAGGGGAATGGCTGCCTCCTCTGCCCTCACCCTCAAACGATTCTTCCTCCCTCTCTAACTCTCTAGCAAAGCCGGCCCGCCAGCGTCGCAAGAGGAAGCACAGGCGAATGACGATGACAGAGATGGTGGTGCATGCCTGGCAGAAGATCTACCCGCACCTCGTCTTGCTGAGGAAGATCATCTACGACTTGACTCAGTCTTTCATCTTTGACTTCATAATCTGCTCGGTGGTTGCCATCAACACCGTATTGCTGGTGGCTCAAACATTTGCGGTGGTTGAAATTCGGGGAGGTCAGCCCACAGGAGAGGTGTTTCTTGCCTCATAAATAATCCTGCTCTGTAGACTTCTTCTGAATGCTGGATAGTAACCAGAGCATGCTCTGGTTTCAATAAGGCCAGGGGCTTCAGTCCTGCCCCAAGGAGAACTTCTGCTCCCAGATTGACGGCTGGCCCTCAGGAGAGATCCCCACAGCTGGAAGCCATATTGACCCAAGGGCCTTATATCTGCAGAATAAGGCACTGACCCTTTCAGGAAGCAACACTAGTCAGTGACTACCTATCCCCAATAGAAACCAGCCAGTTGCTTCAGAACCTTGCTGAGACCACTTCAGAGTTTGGCCTTGCCTTTAGGGCACCCTTTCTCAACTTGTGGGTCCCCAGATGTTGTTGAACTACAACTCCCATCACCCCTAGCTAGCAAGGCCAGAGCTCAGGGATGATGGGAGTTGTAGTCCAACAACATCTGGGGACCTACAGGTTGAGAACCACTGCTTTAGGGGCATTATCTGTGGTCCTGTACCCACACCTTTATCTCCTGTGTAGATTCAACCAGGGACTACTGCCCCCACTCCCCACTTAGGCAATTCACCTTCTTCAGTGGTGGGCATCTCCACAGATCGCAACAGCTTTCATCATGGAGGAGAGTGGCTTTCCCACCATCAATGGTTCTCTCTTTCTCTCCTCTCTTGCCAGAATGGTTCTTTTCTGCCATGGATCCCGCCTTCCTTTCTGTCTATGTGTTAGAGGCCGTCCTCAAGCTCATTGCGTTGGGCTGTGAATATTTCCGTGACCCATGGAATGACATTGGTGGGTCTTTCTGCAGTGTGGTCGAGGGGGTATGAACAGGTGCTGATGCCAGTTCTATGTTTCTAGAAAAAGAGGTGCTGGAACCCACCATGGACGCCTCCCTTGTTCTCTTATCATGGCAATGGCACTCACTGGAGAGGTTCTGGAACTGAGTTTCGGCAAGTTCAAGCTGAGAGAAAAAGCCCTGGCTGATACCAAGGGATTCCAGGGCAAATTATTTAATTAGCAGACTGCCTGAGAATAGCAACATGTGCAGAACTAACAGCGGACCCTTCTCAAATAATGAGAAGGTTGGTACAGTGGTACCTCAGGTTAAGTACTTAATTCGTTCCGGAGGTCTGTTCTTATCCTGAAACAGTTCTTAACCTGAAGTACCACTTAAGCTAATGGGGCCTCCCGCTGCCGCCGCGCCACCGGAGCACAATTTCTGTTCTCATCCTGAAGCAAAGTTCTTAACCCAAGGTACTATTTCTGGGTTAGCGGAGTCTGTAACCTGAAGCGTATGTAACCCGAGATACCACTGTACTAAGCAAAGTACTGTACTAAACTAAGTGTTGCTGTTTTCTCTGGAATGCCCATAATGTTACACTAGTTGTATAAGCTTAATGTTGCTCAGCTGACAAGTCTGAAGCACCATTTCATGTGGGTCTGCCTTAATTTCTATGTTTCCTCTTCTTCCCTTTGCCAGATTTCTTCATTATGTGCATGACGGTGCTGGATTTTCTGCTCCCCTTGCTCATCTCCTCCAGACAAGGCAACCGCGGCAACAAACTCACGCTCTTCCGGGTCCTCAAAATCTGCAAGGCTGTCCGTGCTATCCGTGCCATCCGCTTCCTGCTCACCCTCCGGTTAGCGCCAAAATTTCTAGCTGGGGGAGGAAGGGGAATGGAAGAGCTCCTAGCGCCTCCAGATAGTCAATATTTTGCAAGGGGTGCTTCCAGCACATACCAGGACCCTCCCGTCCTGTACCTTGAAAGCATTCTTCTCTCACTGTGCACAAAGAATATTTGGAACTGTAATTTGCTCAATAAATGGGTCATCTGGAGGAATCCATAGCAACTTCCTAGGTTTTAGAAGGTGGGGTGCGGGACAGAAGGTTGACAGCGACTGACCTTACAACCCTACCTAACTCTCTGTTTCTTTATTTGCTTTCCACGTAGAGTGATGCAGAACCTCAAGGAAGTCACAAGCACCTTTTTGCTTTCCTGCGAGTCCATCGGAGCCATTATTCTCCTCATGTTCTCTTTCCTCTGTATCCTCCCAGGAAAGAGCAGAATGGAGAGGGAAGAATCCAGGTGTACCTGGTGCCCATTGGGACTGGTAGGGCAGAAGGCAGGGAGGCCAGCAGTAGGTGGCGCCAGAGCCAATGAGAGACAGAGGCCATTAATTCTAGTTTTGTCCCCCATCCTCCTCCTCCTCCTCCCTGCTGAGCTCTAACAAGGGCAACACTGAGACCTGCCTTCTTCCGCTCCCCAAAATTTTACTGTCACTGATTTCTGTCATGTCATCCTATGACGAGTGAATTCCACAGGTTAATTACAAATCCCGCGATCCCTGCATTTCCAAGGCTCCTTGTTTCGTTCCTTAGCCCCGCCTTCCACCCGTCAGTCATGTCTTCCGTGGTGCTGCGTGACATGTTCCATGAAGCTGACGAAAAAACACTTTGGAGACCTCTTCAACAGCATCTTCACACTTTTCCAGCTCTTCACTTTGGATGACTGGTCCCTCATCTACCTTACCTGTCAAGAAGCAGGTGAGGGAAGAGGATGCTTGTCAGGGGGTACATAGAACTTAGCACAATCGGTTAAAAAAACCCCAACCCACCCAACCTCGTGTCAAGATTGAAGAGCAAGACAATAATTGGGGGGGGGGAGGATCCATGCTAATATGTTAAACATGGAGATTTCCTGAAAAGCCCACCCCTAGGCAGCATTATCACCCACAGGCCCCATGTGTATTTCTTTCCAGGTGCCTGGTACATCATCATCTTCCTGATCATCTACATCCTTGTGGAGTACTTCTTGCTTCTCAAGTTAGTATAGGCTCCTCAGGCTTTTGACTTACTGGAGGGACCTTGGATGGGAGGTCAAGGGACGGGTTTGTTGATTTATTACATTATTTATTTATTTTCCTTCAAGGTGCTCAAGGTAGTATACATTGTTCACTGTCCGCCCACACCACCACCACCCTGGAATTTTATCCTCACAATATCCCTGTTAGGCATATATATATATATATATATATATATATATATATATATATATATGGAAGGACCGGCCTGAGGTTCTTTCTGGCACAGAGATGTCAGCTTGCGAGAGGGCAATTCTGTGTATATGAGCCATTGTAGCCTCACCACTCTCTGCTCTGTGCTTCGCCTCTTCAATTCTTGGACACTGGGAGAGGCTGTCCCCCAAAATATTGGGGGGAGCACCAAAAGAACACGCCCCCAGGACCTGGTGCCCCTGCTGTGGTATATTTAGTTCTTCCTGTGACAGTGGAGGAGGATCTGCTTGGATACGACCTTGCGTCTGGTTTCAGGGGGATGGGATTTGGGTGCCTGAGCTGTCCTCCTGACACCTGCTATGAGACCATTGGGTTGATAAGTTTACCAAACTGGGCGGGGAAATCTGCCATACTCCTGGCGAGCTTCACAACTGAGCACATTTGAACTTGGGATTCTTTGGTCTTAGCCAGACACTCTTAACGGGATTAACTGTTTACTAAATACATTGAACTCTGGCTGATCACACCAGAACGGATGTGGGGTGGATTCCAAAAAGCACAGCAAGGTAAAAGCTTAAACCGAAGGTAAAAAGTTTTAGATAAACTAAATGCAGCGATAAGTGCTCTTAAAGAGAGCCAGTGGGGTGTAGTGGTTAAGAGCGGTGGACTCGTAATCTGGTGAACCGGGTTCGCTTCCCCGCTCCTCCACATGCAGCTGCTGGGTGACCTTGGGCCAGTCACACTTCTCTGAAGTCTCTCAGCCCCACTCACCTCACAGAGTGTTTGTTGTGGGGGAGGAAGGGAGATTGTTAGCCGCTTTGAGACTCCTTAGGGTAGTGATAAAGCGGGATATCAAATCCAAACTCTTCTTCTTCTTCTTAAAACCCCGAGACAACCAAGAAAAGACTAAATAACTACAGGGCCAGCCCAGGACATTTTTGCTGCTTGAGGCACAGCAGAAAATGTTGCTACCCTGCCACTGCCTCCTCTACCGCCTGAGGCGACTA